GATAGTTAAAATTATAAAGGAACATTTCAATTCATTCTTTCTAGGGCGTTTCATTAAAGCTTTTTATCGAACTATTTTTTTCACTTTTGATTTTTTTTTCAATTTTTAGTTATCGCTGGCTAGGTTTCTCAGTCTGTTCATTTCTTTGAACGCATCATTGTTGCAAGGTCGTTTGCCGGTTAATTTCGAACATTCCAGCTCTTCAATAAGGAAACTTTCTAATGATTTTACCCTACTTAAAGCCACGTATGCTTGACCAGCAGCGAAGATCTTCGAGTCTGAGTAAATAACGGCGTAGTCGACAGTATACTACCTTGCATTTTGTGTACCGTACAAGCCCAACATACTACAATTGGCAGCATTCTTCGTTCCGAGGTTCCGTGAACTATATTTTGCTGGAAATTGCACAGACTTAGTATGTCATACCTGTAAATACTAGTTATTCTCTAATTATTGAGGATAATAGGTTATCTAAATGACACGCCATTTTGTGTGTTAATCAATGCCCTCTTTATTCGAATTAGAGATGGGTCGTTCCAATAAACATCGTTCCGATTCCTAACATCTGAACATCATGTTCCTAACATCCTTCCTTCAATAAGAAATATAATAACAATATGGTAACAACTAAATTTCATCAAAGATTCAGCCTCTGAGGTGGTTTTATTAATCTTCTAGAAGATGTACTCTTTTCATTATTCACTAGGTTCTCCTCAGAGTCTGTATCCATGACTGAATCAAAAGTATTATCAGCATTACTACTACTAGTTAAATCATTTTTATCATTGCTACTATCGAGTGTATCAAATGAGCTTTCTATAGTAGTGTTTTCAGATGCAGTACCTGTTTCTTCACTGTTTTCTGAATTATTATCACTATCACTATCTATCTCTAAGTAACATTTAAATTCTACTTCTTTTCTTCCTTTCATAACAGGGTTTGTTAAACGTGGAGTTGGATGAATATTCAATGGGATATTGATGTCAGATTTAATTGGTTTAATAAATCTTCGATTACGAATTAATACTGATCCACTATCCAGTTTAACTTTATAAGTTCTATGCCTAATATTTTCTAATACGATCCCAGGAGTCCAGACGCTCTTGGGCTTGACTTGAACATATACTCTAGTGTTCTCTTCCACTACAGGCAAATCTTTAACTGACTGATTATAATAATGTTTTTGCTGAATTCTCTGGTTTTGAATCATTTCATCTTGACTATATACTAATTTAGGTTTCAATGAATCAGTTGTACATGGAATAGTTGTCCTTAACTTTCTTGACATCAGAATTTCAGCAGGAGAAATATTTTTAGTTATAGGGGCGCTTCTTAAATGTAATAGTGCAAGGTGCAAATCTTTTTTTTCCTCTAATATTTTTTTAAACATTTTCTTGATGGTTTGTATGTGTCTTTCTGCCATGCCATTTGATTGGGCATAAGTCGGAGAAGACATAGTGTGGTTAAAATTCCATTCATTAGCAAATTTTTTAAATTGACTGGAGCTAAACTGGGGCCCACCATCTGAGACCAGTGTCAAAGGTATACCTAACAAAGAGAATCTGTCTTTCATTATTTCAATTATTTTGTCGCTAGTTGTATTTCTATGTAAATCTACCACATCCACAAATTTAGAGTAATAGTCAACGAGGAGGAGATATTTATGTCCATTTATTTCCAGAATGTCACACCCTACCTTGTTCCATGGAATTAAAGGGATGTCATGACTTTCTAATGATTCTTTTTGTTGTGAGTTTGCATATTTCAAACATAGGTGGCATTGCGAGATTTTTTGTTTGATTTGGTTTACCATTTGAGGCCAGAAAATTGATTCTTGTGCTAACTGAATACATTTTTTTACCCCCAGATGATTATAGTGAATACGATTCATCATTTCACTCCTCATACTGGATGGTATTAGAATACAATTACCTTTGAAAATTAAATCATCAATTATGCATAATTCACTCTTAAAAGGTGCATACTGTTTCAAATTTTCACTTAGTTTTTTATTGTTATTTGGCCAACCTGCTAAAATGACTTGTTTTAATTTTATTAATTCATTGTCTTGGTTCGTTTCTTTCTTTAATTCACATAATTTTTCTGGTGTTGCATTTACTTCCATCTCAACTAAACAAACTTGAGATTGAATTTCATTATCCAGACAACTGTTTTCTCTTCTGGCAACATATGCTCTTGAAAGAGCATCTGCTATCAGAAGTTCTTTTCCAGGTTTGTAGACCAAGTCTATTTCAAATTTTTGAATTTGCATTAACATTCGCTGAAGGCGTGCGGGGCATTTATTCAGGGGTTTTTTTAAAATGTTAATTAACGGCAAATGGTCTGTTTCTACCGTTATTTTTTTTCCAAAAATATATTGGTAAAATCTTTCTAATCCAAAACAAATTGCAAGGAGTTCCTTCTCGATTTGCGCGTATCGCATCTGTGTCTCTGTCATAGCTTTTGATGCATGTGCACAAGGGAGTCTGTTTTGCAGAAGTACTGCACCTAACCCTGATTTTGAAGAGTCAACTGAAACAACTATTTCCTTTGTAACATCAAAAAATTGAAGTAACGGCTTTGTACTTAGTTTTTGCTTCAGTTTTCTGAATGCATTTTGTTGCT